GTCAATTACTGAAACCTTACAAATTGCTTTAGCAGATTTCATGGGAACTTTTTCATATCATTTTCCTAAAAGTAAATTATGGGATTTTTTTAGACGTCAACAATTTGTGGTTAATACCTTATTAGCTGTACAGCCAATTCCACAAGCTTTGACTATATTTACAGATGGATCTAAAAATAAAGCTGCATATTGGACTCAAAAATCTTACTGGGTACGTCAGACAAATTTTAACTCTGTACAACAAAATGAACCTTTTGCTATATTACAAGTGTTTTTAGATTTTCATAACCAACCTATTAATATTATAGCCGATTCGGCCTATTCTGTTGGAGTAGTGACAAATATCTATTCAGCTGTGTTATATTCTAATAAGCCTGCTTTATTGTCTTTATTTCAAAATTTACAAATACATGTTCAAAAAAGAAATCATTCTTATTTTATTACTCATTTACGTTCTCATTCTCAGTTACCCGGACCATTAGTATCAGGTAACAATACAGTGGATTCCTTAGTTATGTTCACCACACCCGTTGAAGAACATCAATTTAATCATGCAAATGCAGGACATTTGCATCTTAAATATAAGATACCTTTTACAAAAGCTAAACAAATTGTAAAAGCCTGCCCTATTTATAGACCATTACATTTAAAAATTATTCCCGCAGGTGTCAACCCTCGAGGAACTCAACCTAATAAATTATGGCAAATAGATATTACACATGTACCTTCTTTTGGTCGGCTTTCTTATGTACATGTAGTTATTGATACCTATTCTTCATTTCTATGGGCTACTGCTCAACAGGGAGAATCCACTAAAAATGTTATTGTACATTTATTGGAGACTTTTGCAGTTATGGGAATTCCTTCTAAAATCAAAACAGATAATGGACCTGCTTATACTAGCAGAACATTTAAACAATTTTGTGATCTCCATAATATTATTCATATTACAGGGATTGAATATAACCCCCAGGGTCAAGCTATTGTTGAAAGAGCACATGGCACTCTTAAGTTGCAAATTAAAAAATTAAAAAGGATGAGTCAGGAGGATATTCAGATACCAATACTGTTTAAATTGCAAAACAGTCCAAAAACATTACTGCATCAAGCATTGTTTATTTTAAATTTTCTCAATTTACCACAAGGTGAAATATTAACAAGAGCTGAAAAACATTTTGAACAGCAACAACAGCCTTTTGTGATTAATGAACCTATTTGGACTAAAACAGCTCCAGAGGCTGAATGGGAGAGGGGCACATTGCTCTATAGGGGGAAAGGTTTTGGTTATATCTCCACAGAAAATGGAATTCAGCAGTGGGTCCCTGGACGATGGATCAGGACCCGCGTCTCCAGATCCTGTTCACCAGCCCCGGAGACAACTCCCCAAGGAACCGGAACCGTGCCTTCAGAAGCGAGCGCGAAACCAGCTAGAAGCTGAGGATGCTGAGTTTGTTCCTATCGCAGCCATGGCCAGATTACAGCTAAGAAAATCCCGCCGCTCACAGCGACCAAATTTAAATCCCCTCCCTACATGGGGACAATTAAAGAAATTGACCATAGAAGGGCAACGGCTTGTCCTTCAAGCAGGAAAGCCTTTAAACCCTGAAAACTTGTTTTTAGCTTTATGTGCCTTGCTCACCGTTGCATCGGGGACTGAGGTACCTCCGCATTCGTACTGGGCATATATTCCAAACCCCCCTTTATTAGAACCTGTAAAATGGGGAACTAGTGATATTTTACTTTATACCACACCTAGAGAAATTTTGTCAGCACCGTGGGCTGATTTAACCCCCCACAATCAAGATGATGGGACACTATTCAATTTTACTTATTATGGTAATCAAAGGCCTATTTGCATTGGGGAACCGCCTTGCATCCCTCTGGGATGGCAGTATTGGATTCAACATGGAATAAAAGCAGGCAACAAAAGGACAAGGCTTCAAGCCTTGGCTGCTCAAACCTTTAATGTTACCTGGAGAAATTTAACAGCACCTGATACAAATACATTTCCTGTATGCCCTGAATTTACTTATAAAAATATTTCTTATAATCCCATAATTTGGCAACTATGTATGGGAAAATTTGCTAAAAATATTGATGGGTATATTATTTGGGGACCATTTGGAAAATTCGTTAATGGATGTGCTGAATGGAATGAGACAAGATGTAATCTCTCTGTTGTGTATAGTCTTCCAGATCCAAAGAAAATAACTGACGGAGCTCCTATATTTCAACAAAAGACGGCTCTCTTGTGGTGGGGAGATGGTGGAATCGCTAACCCTGCTGTTGCAGCCGAAGAATACCCTCATCACCTTCAAAATCATATTTGGAAGATCCCAGCCGCTATGCAACCTGTAACCTTGTACAATGTTTCATATTCAGGGACTAGTCGATCTGTATCTACTACTTATAATTTTACTAGGTTTAAAATGTATAATATTACTGTTTGTGCACCTCTGCCTTATGTCTTTTTAGTGGGAACTTTTAATTTTACACATTTTTCTTGTACTTGTTTAAATTGTCAATTGTTTACATGCTTAAATAACACACTAAATTTCACTAAGCCTTATACAGTTATGCTGTTACAACAAAAAACTCATATTTGGTTGCCTGTAAATTTAACTCGACCTTGGTCTCAAGACCCGGTAATTTCTGTTACTACTGAATTTTTTAAACATCTGTTAAAACGTACAAAAAGATTTATTGGAATAGTGGTTGCTGTACTGTTAAGTCTGATAACTGTAGCCTCTCTAGCAGCAGTCTCAGGAGTAGCTTTACAAACCTCTTTGCAAGAAAAACATGTTGTCGAATTATGGCATGAGAATTCTCATGAACTTTGGTTAACTCAGTGGCAGATAAACGCCAGACTACAACAACAAATAGACCTCCTTAAACAAACAGTTGAATGGATGGGTAGAAAAATATTGGCTCTTCAGCATCAAGTGTTTTTAAAATGTGATTGGAATTCAACTACTTTCTGTATAACCCAACGACCTTATAATCAGACAGAACATGAATGGGAAATGATTAGAATGTATTTAAATGGAAACACCTCTGCCCAGGAGGAAATAGAATCTTTGCATAATCAAATTGACAAGGATTTTGCAAAGCAAAATGATGATGAATCTCTAGCACAATTCGCGCAATTGCTTGCTCAATCTTTGAAAGGATTAGATTCCAAAGGAATCTGGCAGAGCATTACCCACACTTTTAGTGGCATGGGACTTAGTTTAATTATAGTTCTCATTGCCATAGTTCTTGTGTATTTTTACTGCATAAGACGAAATGCTATTAATAACCTGATCTTATGGAAATTGTTGTTAAAAAATAAAAAGGAAGGAAGTGTGGGGGATGAGGTGTCACTTTGTAGGCCCAACCCCCTCTAACCTGCAATTTACAATAGCCGCCCTGGTATGCGAGAAGGAGGTAGAACGGGAATGCCCGTTCTCAGTGAGCCCTCACCCTCTGGAATCCATACTGTGAGCTGGCTTTGTTTTGCAGAAGTCTTGAGGAAGTGGCTGGCCACCCTTTGTGACACTAACAGCAGACAAATTAACAACATTCTTGAGCTAATGAATTTCTTCCTGGGCTAGAGAAGTTGTGAGAACTGGTTGTGATTATTTACTTCACTTAGATAGTTTTAGAATAAACATTGTAGTCTGTCACGTTGTAGCTTGCCACAAAGAATGCCTTTTCACTACTTAATTATCTGGGCTCTGTGAATTGATCGGGTTTACTATATATGAATCCTAAAATAAAGATTGTGCGTACAGTGCAGTGCAGTGCAGTGTAACGCGGTGCAGACAGCAAAGGTGTCTCTCCTGTCTTTCTTTTCCAAGCGCTGTACCCCCCGTGTCCCGACAAGGCGTGCGTGTTTACCTTGCCCGGAGTTCAGAGTGCTCTAGACACTCACGACAGTTAGTTTTTTCACACAGGTTCAAAAACAAACATTCTTTCCAATTCATTGTAAAATTTTCTTATGTTTGCTGGGGATTTAGCTCAGCAGCATAAGTGCCTTGCAAGCGTGGGGTCGTGAGTTCGATCCCTGGTACCAATAAAAAAAAAAAATGGGTTAAATTTTCTTATGTTTAAATCTCCTCCTTTAGTTTGACTAAAGCTTGAAAACCTCTACTTCATTAAAAATTGGAAGATTTTGCAAGGCCTGCTTTCAAAATTAACCTCTCAGTGGCCATTCAAGTTAGCAATGTGAGTGACTTTCATGGCATTCCCAAACTTGTCCTGACAGTTCCTCCCTAACCCTTTAGGTCCAGTCTTCTGGCAAAGAAAATAAAAAGTAATTGTTCATGAATGAGAAAATACTTTCTTGAATCTTTTCTTGCAACCAAAACTTATTCTGCTAGCTAAAGCCTTTCTTTTTCTTTTCAATTTGGGTAGTCATCTGTGACCTGCTTTTCTTCCTTTTTAATATTTCTTCTTCCCCAGTAAAAAGTTAGCTTTGGTAATTCATTGCCAGAAATTCTGATTTCATAACTTTGCTCTTTTAATTTTCTTTAGCTAGTGTTGTTAGACCGGGTGTGGTGGCACATGCCTCTAGTCTCAGCACCTAGGAATCTGAGGCAAGAGGATTGCCACAAATTAGAGAGCAGTCTGAGCTACATGATGAGACCTTGACTCAAAATCACAAAGCAAAGCAAAAACAAAAAAATTATTTCAAAAGTCAATGAAATCATGAATATGACCTTTAAAATTTTTTCACAACAATCAGAAAACCTACCACTCCCAGAAAGGCAATATTTCTCTCTCTTTTAATGTATAAAATATTCAAGATCAACTCAAAAGTCCTTTAAAATGAAAGTGTAAAATGCTACTTAGTGCCCACATCTATTGTATAGAATATTTGCATAAATTTATTTTTAAAAACAAACTATACCTAATTTGCGATGCATTGCCAGGATTACTCGAGAGTTCAAACAGAAATTTTAAAGATGCAGTCATGGAATATTTCCAAGAAAGAATATTTAAAACTATATTCTTTTCTCATCAAGGCTAGAGTCACACTTGGGTATTGACTGTTGCCTCAGTATGCTAGAGTCCTTGAAGAGTAAAGTGCTGACCTTATTCACTGGCTGTGGACTTCGTGGCACAGTCAGCCTCCAGGGTAGTAACATGCTTTGGAAAAAAAATAAATTAAAAAAAACTATATTCTTTTCTCATCATTAGTAGTTTTAAGTGTATTGAGCATTTATCAGCTTGTGATATTTGATATTAAGTGCCTTAAAAATGTATATACTTTCTTTGTATTCAGCATTCTCTTTGATTAAGCAATTCTACCTGAAAAAATGGTCCTAAGGAGACAATCAGATCACACAAGAGTACAAAATACTTATACAAGGATAGTCATACCACATTGTTTATAACACGTGAAAAATTTTTAAAGTCTGAAATTCTCTTGCACAAATGAATTATGTTGCATCCATAATATGAACAACGAGGCAGTGTTTTATATCTATATGGCTCCATAACAACTTGATCAACACAGAAATGTATTGAATGCCAGAAATAGTTTATAAAATTGGATATGTTATGATCTTACTAATGTAAAATTGAGTGTGTGTGTACATGCACACCATATGCACACATGTATATCTTGAATGGTTGTATCAAAAAATTAACTTTGATTTTTTTGTTTGGTTATTTCCTTAAAAAATGTTCTACATTTTGAAAAAACTTATGTTTTCTTTTGAAAATCTTATGGGAAATGTGAAGCTAAATGTATATAGTCATTAATGTCAGACTAGGAGTACAACCCAGACACTCTAATTCCTTGTCTAGTGCTTGGTCTCTCATATCTCTGCAGTTCTGGAAATAAGAAATGTGAAGGAAATATTTCCTTCGTGCAGTGAAGACCCCAGTATTTGCTGCAAGATTTTCCTGCCATGTGGGGATTCCATAGTGAAGCTCTGACTTACTCTGTTTCCAGACAGTGTTTTTGACTCTGAGTCATGGCTGTAATGTGAGTGTGAATGGTAATATGAGCCCGCAGTTGTGCATGTAGCCTCAACCTGGGCACTCCCTGGAATTTGATCATTCCGGTTCTCTTTCACATGGTTCACTTCCTTCATTTAACTTTGGTTAAGTGACATGTGCTGAACTGAAGATGTTGAATTCCTTTTTAAAATTTCTTTTTCTTTATTTTAACCAATACAGAAATATGTAAAAGTCACATATTGTTGAGGTACTAGGCAATGTTTCACTACATGTATTTATTATATATTAGATGAAACATCTGTTTTTTCAAATATTTGTCATTTATTTATGGTAAAATGTTTCAAAATTCTTCTAGCTTTTTAAGTAATATAGTACATTTATTCTTTTTTTTTTTTTTTTTTTTTGTGATACTGGGGATTGAATCCAGGGACATTCTGCCACCGAGTTATAAGCCCAACTCTTCTTATTTTTTACTTTGAAACAGGGTCTCACTAAGTTTTCCAGACTAGCATCAAAATTTTGATCCTTGTGCCTCAGCCTCCTCAGTATCTAGGATATCTAGACCTATGTCATCACATTCAGTACGTTATTGTAACCTATAGTTGCCCCACTGTATAGAAACACTGCAGAACTTCTTACTCTTAATACTGTAATTTAGTACCCATTGCTCAATCTTTCTGCATCTCTCTCCCCATCCCAAACTTTAAATCCTTTCATATTGAGAATTCCTCCGATTCCGTACTTGAGTTGCAATCCTCTAATCAGAGGATCAGAAACCCTAAACTATAAGCCACTTGCAATTTCCTTCATAGATAGGCAGAATTAAAACTGAGAATTTGAATAAATATTTAGAAATATTTAGTACAGTTGTAAAATATACATATTAACTTTTTTCAGAAAATTAGTCCAAAGACAGAGATTCCTTGCTTTGTAACACGCCCAAAGCATGGGAGAATGATTCATCTGTTCAACAGCATTTCATTCAACAATGTGTACCCCATATACTCTGTTAGGAGATGGAAATATAAAAATAACAAGACATAGTTTCTACCCTAAAATACAGTTCAATGATGGTTGGGGCAGACAGGCAAAGTACTACATTAAAGTGGGAAAGATACTGCACGGCATGTAAGGATAGGATAATGTGTAACTCAGCAGTAGAGTGCCTCTGGGTTCAATTTCCAAGTAGTTCCTAAAAGATGGTGAAGGTAGGATAGATCCAGTAGAACTCAAGAAGTAAGTTCTTTATGAGCAAAACCCATATTTGCTAGGGTAGCGAAAGGAAAAAGGGTCTTGAAGGTAGGGAGGGGAACAAGAGGGAAAGCATAGAGTACTGAGAAACATAATTTGTGAGAACAAAAGTTGGTTTGGAATTTCTGGAGTTTAAAGTAGAAGGATTATGATAAAGAGAAAGACAAAAGTTGGGCCCCAACTTACAATGCTTCAATCTAGAGAATTTTCAACTTTTGATGGTGCAAAAGTGATACAGTCAGTAGAAAACGGCTTTGAATTTCAATCTTAAAATATACACAATATTCTCTTACAAAATTTGGCAAGTAATATCAAACCAACTCTCAATCAGGCATGTGACCACAAGGGTAAATGATCAATACTGTACAGCAGAGGTGGTGAACCTGTGGTATGTGTGCCACAACGAGTGTTAATATCAGTGAAACTCTGAAAGTTTACCAGCTCTGCTCTGAGGTCTACTGTATTGCCAAGCTATGGTGTTCTATAAACTAGGTATGTTAAATACATTTTTTTGCTTATAGTACTTTAAGCTTACAATTGATTTATTGGGATGTTACCTGGTTTTAAGTCAAGGAACTAAACAAGTCTTGACTTTGGCATGAAAACTATGAATAATTCTTTTAAAAATTCCATTAGGAAAGTAACAGATACAAGTAATCTCCCAGAACTTTCTTATAAATGAAAGGACAAGCAAACTTCAAGAGAACCAAAATCACTAAGCATACATGGAAATAAGGCATGAGGAAGAATCAGTAGCAACAACAGAATTAGAGGACTACAAATGGAATTTTTAGATACATAATATAGAAAATGCATTTATGCATTAAATTTGTAAAGAAGGCTAGGCATGCTGGTGCACACCTATCATTCTGGTGCTTAGGAGGCTAAGGCAGGAGGATCACTGAGAGTTCAAGGCCAGTCTGGGCTGCCCAGTGAATTCAAGGCCACCCAAAGTACATAATGAGACCCTGTCTCAAAAAAAAAAAATTGTAAAGAAGTAAAGCATGGATTCACAACAGATAAATGTGCAATCAGAGACTATAGCAAATGACAAGACATATCTTTTAATGCAAACAACTTGATACATTAGAAATGAAAGTCTAATTATGAAAATTTTAAAAATTAGTGAGCAAGTCAACAGATTAGATGTAACAGAAACAGAATTGGTTAACTAGGATTAGAACCAAAGTGCCTATAATTAAGAAAGAAAAATCAACAGGAGGAAGAGGAGGAGGAGAAAAGAAAAGAGAGGGAAAGGAGAGGAAGAAGAAAAAAGAGGAGAAGGAGGAGAAATGAAGAAGAAATTTATAATGTAGAAAGGGTGAAAAGATTTAATGAATGTCTGATTAGAGTCTCAGAAGAAAAGACTACAGAAAATGAAGGAGGGCCAAATTAGAGGCGATAATGACTGAGGAGTTTCAGAACTGATAAACACATGAGTCTGCATATTGAAAAAGTACCCCATATATCATGTCAAGTTTTTTAAACAATTCATGATTAGAAGCATCACAATAAAGACACTAATACCAAAAGTAAATTTATATTAAAATCATTGTGAGAAAAAAGAGATCACATTTAGAAAGAAATTAGTATCAGGCAGGTTATATATTTTTTTCCAATTATTGAGGTAAAGCACACATAACATTCACAATCTTAAACATTTTAAAATGCACAGTTCAGTGGCATTAAATACACTCACAGTTTTGTGCATCTATCACCACCAGCTAATCTCTATTGCTCTTTTCATCTTATAAAAGTGACATTCCATACCCATTAAACAATAATGCGTCACCTTGTTGCAGCTTGGCATAACTAACACCATCTTGTGCCCTGTATTTGACCAGAAGAGTGAAAAATTATTCAAGGTACAAATCCCATGAGAAAAGCAGAATGAGTTGGACTCACCAAAGAGAAAAACAAACCTACTCTACAAAGAAGCAGGATACAAGTGTCAACCAAAATTGATGTAAGATTCTAGCCAAATTGTTTCCAACAGGATGGCTTGTTTTACAGTTTTCTGTTTTAAAAGCTCTGTAAGTTTCTAGTTCAGCAACACTTGGTGGGACTCTGAAATGGAGGTCTATGCGAGTAGTCACTGAGCTCAGCTAATAAAATTCCAAATTTATCAGTTAGACTGCTTGCATTCCTATATGGTTTATGAACCTACATCAACCTCTTCTCCTAACTCCTAGCAGTTATAATTCTGCCCTCTGTCTCTATGATTTTGATTACTGTAAGTACTTCAGTAACTGGAATCATACAGTGTTTGTCTTTTTTGTAGTTGATTTGTTTTACTTAGCATAAGATCCTGAGGTTCATTCATGTCATTGCAGAATTACCATTTTGAGGCTGAATGATTATTAATTGTATAGATAGGCAAATTTTACTTACCCATTCTTTTGCCAATGGACACTCAAGTTATTGTTATATGTTAGCTATTGTGAATAATGGTGCTGTAAGCATTCATGAACAGATGTGTCTTGAAGACCTTGCTTTCATTTCTTATGAGTGTATTATACTCAAGAAGTGAAATAGCTAGATCACATGGCAATTCTATTTTTAACTCTTTGAGGAATTGCAATACTTTTTTCGATGGTGACTGTATAATTATACAATTACATCAACAGAGCATAAGGATTCAAAATTTTCCAACACTTTTAAAAAATTTTTGCCAATACTTGCTACTTTCTGGTATTTTGCAAGTAGCCATCTTAATGACTATGCAGTGACAGTTCATTGTTTTGATTTGCATTTCTCTATTAAGGGATGCATTTCTCATCTAGTGATGTTGAATGTAGTTTCATTTGTATAAATAGCTAGTCAAGTCATTTACTTATTTTTTGGATCCTGTTTTCCAGCAGGAAAAAATATTCTCTATGTAGTCTGTATTAATCATTTATCAGATTTATGATTTGCAGATATTTCCTTCGA